ACGATGATTTGCCGTAGAGAGATAATTTTTTATATATATATATATATATATATATATATATATATATATATATATATCTTTTCATAATATTGTGTGTGCATTTGTGCATGTATGTGTGCGCGCGAATACGTGTGTATCTGCGCGGATACGTGAGTGCGCGAATACATTTGTATCTGCAGATTTTTATAAATTCAATTTTAACGTAATGCATAGGCTTTTTATAAAATATTGATCTATCAAGATTTAGTGGCTTTATAAAAAGACTTCATAAAAAGGCTATGCTTTTCGTGTAAAGAAATTGATTTTCTAAAAAAGCTCGCAATATGTACATAACATATATAAATATAAATAAGTTTAATAATAAGAAGCTAATAATTAGATTTATAAATATCTAATATATATAAAATTTACCTCGTCAAGTTGGCTCTTGGAATATACATGGTTAATAATAATAGTAAATGCTGTCAAGTCACTGATGTCTCTTTAGAAACAAAATAGCAGATATATGTTTAGTTTACGTAACAAACTTTCGTAATTAAGAGCAACATGAATTTATCACAAAAAGAAATTCTAGTTACCTTGGTTTTAGTTTCTCGAAATTTGTTAATATATTTCTAAGCACAGTATCGCTTTTTGCATGCTTTGCAATAATAAAAATGAAACTATTAATACAATTATTAGCTTGTATTCCGACATATGTTCCATTATTCTGCGATGTTATTAATTTTAAATATTCATTGATGTTATTTTCAGAACAAGCTAAGAATTCTAAAAATCTTTTATCATGGTTTTGCATCAATCCTATATTTTTCATTGTGTGCCAAGTATCAACATCTGCTAACATCGAACCTTTACAGTATATCCATTCTTCCCACCACGGCGCAAGTTTATAATATCTGAAAAGAATTAATGTTTTAAAAATTATGTATGTAAATATTTTCTCGTCATATTTTATATCTTAATTCAATAATTTATTCAATATTGCGGAAGATGTAAAAAAAAATATAGAAAAACAGTAACGTTAAGAAAAATTACTTATTGTTTTTCAGTTTTCCAATATGCTCTAACAATTTATCGTAAGCTTTTCTCTGACAGATGGTGTTGCCGAGAATACATGCCCATTTAATAGCTTCTTGTCTTAAACATTTAGTAAAGTCATCCTCCTCATTGCTTTCTCTGTATTTTATTTTTGAAAGGACACCTCTTAATAGGTTGCTTAACTTTTGCTGAAATATTATATCAATTTCTTATTATTTGCAAAAACATGCGTATATATTATGATGTACATGCAAATATATAAATTACTTTGTGTTTAATTCATTAAATTATATATAATGGGCTTACGAAACTAACGATCTTTTTTTGTGTATCATTTACATATCTTACACTGTTATAAATTATAAATTATAAAGTATATAAACTGTATAAATACTATTATAAATAAATCTATATTTTTCCTTTTTAACATGTATATATAAACTTTCTATTTTATACAATTATGTACAATTCCTGTGTAATTCAAATAAGATTATAAAAAATATAACAAATTTTTTTCAGTTACATATATATTATTATGTAAATAAAGTGAAATAATTATAATTTAATACCCTTATAATACTTTATAATACCCTTCAAACCTTTTCTATTAATGAAATCAATAACTATCTACCTTGATATCATCAACTTTTTCATTTGGAAATGGAAAGATGCTTGATATATATTCCATAGCTTTGATCATAGGATACCATGCTATATAATTTGTCTCATGTGCAAGATAATTCGTCAAATTCCAGAATATGGAAGAATGGAGTTGTTGTGCCATCATAAAATGAAATGCGTCGTCGATGATTTTAGCACGATTGAGAACATGTATTTTCTTATATTTTTCAGAATTCAAATATTTTGCAATTCTTTGCCAGTTTTCAGGATCGTAATTAATGCGATAATATCCTGTAGCAAATAATTTTTATATATTATCCTCATCTAATTCGGGATTTGTTAAGGGACTTATCGAGAAATGATTCTGGATATAAATATACATTTAAAAAAATAATAATTATGAATATATTATGGGGAAAAAAGTAAATTGTAGCATTATAACATTACAGACATTTTATGAATTATAACATTTTAGACCGACAATAGTATGTGATTTCGTGAAATTAAGCTATATAAGGACTTGCAAAATAATCTACATTTATATCGGTTTACATAATAATTAAATTATAAAAAAAATGAATTTTTCTCACGGAATCAATAATAATACAAAATATATTTCGTATATTTAATATTTTTCCATATTATTTAATATTTAATATCCAATATTCAATATTATTATTTAATTATTTGTTTACCTAACGTGTTCTCACTAATAAAATAAGTAAATAAAATTGTATAATGCCATAAAAAAACTTCGCTTATATAAAATAAATATAGAAATATAATTAATGTATTATTTAATATTTACCAGCTTGTTGTAAGTTAAATATCACCCAACCATCCTCTACTATATCAAGTTGGTTGTCATGCGGTGATGTTATAAGTATTAATCTCTCATCATCAAACGGAGAAGCAAAATTAAGATTACTCTGCGTAGTAAACGTTACAGGTATCTGTAGCTGGTTATTTTGAAAAAGATCGCAGTTTTCTATTCCTATATGCAATCTGTTTTCATTATAATTTCGCGTTATTTTCAATGTAGGATAATTCGCATACTGTGCCCAAACATCTATTAAATGATTATTAGTTGTTGTAGCATATGCGACTACCGGATGGGGACAAGGATGACTAAGGTCATATACAGTTTTTTCCATAATAATCCAGAAATCATGTGGTGTCGTCCATCCAGATGCACTATAATTGTAAAATTTGGCATTATTGACACAATAAAAACTGTACTAAAATTATAAGTTATCTAAAAATATCAAAATATTACTTATATTATATATATAATATATT